AGAGAGAGAGAGAGAGAGAGAGAGAGAGAGAGAGAGAGAGAGAGGTGATATCCTTTGGCCTTGATTTACTGCTTTGAACCCTCAAAAGTAACAAACTCCTATCAGGAAGAGCAGATACTTTATAAGGTACCAAGTAGAAAAAAAAGATACAAAGAAATGGTCTAAATTTATCTTAGCTGATCCATGAGAAAGCCACATACAGTACAGAAATTCAAGGCTAAATAGATTTTCCGTATTCTTGAATGTCATGTTTTTTTTTCAAGGTTCTTAAATGTTTTTAATATTGAGCTTCCTGATTATAAAAGAAAATTTCATGCTTTTTTTTTTTTTTTTTTTTCAGCAAGTCACTGGCCGAAGTTTTGGTGATAAAGACTTCCGGACAGGGTTAGAAAATGGAATCCTTCTCTGCGAGTAAGTATAGCCTGTATTCCTTTGTTTTCATTCCAGAAGCATCCTTGAGACCATTCTGTTTGTCTGTAAAACTTGCAGTGTTTTATTTTTGGTTGAGTCACAGTTTGAATCTGCAGCTCAAGGGAAAAACCACTGGGTGAGGCAGGGAACACAGATGGGAGGGAGTCTTGGTGTACAAAGGGGGTAGTGGGGACAGTGCAGTGACAAACAATGATGAAGAACCCATCGGGTGGAACTCGGCTCCCACTCACTGTCACTGTGTACAAATTTGTGCCCAGGTGATTGTAAAGATGTGAGTCTACTTGTGCTAACCATACCAAATATTTCTCCCCTTTAAAATCCCAAACCAAAGCGTTTTTTACCCAGTGAACCCAGTGTTGTGTATACTTAGGACATCTTAAAGGCAAGCCAGGAAGTGTTCCTCACGGGCAGGTTTTTTGGTACATTTAGTTTGTGTTGTTGGCAAGAATTCCAGAGTGTGCAGTGATAGCAGCATCTGTCATGTTTTGAAGCAAAGCTCTGCCATAGAGTCCTGCTGTGACAATAGAATTGGGAGCTTTCTGGGAAGTGATTTTAGACACAAAATAATCCTGAGCTTTAATGCTTACAGGTGTTTAAGGACATATACTTCAAACCAAGACTTCAAATTTCAAGTTTATTTAATAGACTGTATAATTTTGATACTGATTTTTGTGTTATTGAGAGGTAATGGAGATTCAATGAAACACTCTATTCCTAAATGTATATAATCTGATGGGTTTTGAAGAACATATGCAAGCCTGTTCTGTGCTCTCATCAAGACATAAAAATTACATCCTCTCAGGTCGCTTCCCACTGAATCTCAGCACCCTGGCAACTGCACTGTTCTGGTCTTCCTTCATCATAGCAGGACTTTGCCTCTTCTTGATCCATATGCAAATGGAGTTACAAATAGTGGGTGCTTATTGTGGTGACTTTCAGAATATTATTTGAGGTTGAAAATGCAGGGACTTTGGAACCTCAAAAACTGAATATTCATAGGGACTGGAGATAGCTCAGTGCTTTCAGAGCACTTGTTGCTGTTGCAGAGGACCTGGGTTCATTTCCCAGCACCCACATGGCATCTCACAACCACCTATAACTCCAGGAGATCTGATGACACGCACATGCACACGTATGATATACGTACTGACAAGCAGGTACATACACATGAATAAAATAAAATGTTCAAGTCCCTGCTTTTCTTTTGCACATCATTTAACCTCCTTGAGTTTCAGTTTTTCTAAATGGTGGTATAAGTTTGCTGTTCTACTGCGTAGGCATTTTGTGGGCCTGAACTGTGGGTAAGGACTTTAAAGAACTATGCGGTGCTTTAAAAATGCCACTTATTTTGTAACCTTCTCAGTGTAGTTCATGTCAGCATTTTCTTCTGCCTCTCCTTCTTGGTTCAAAGATACATTGATGGCCCCAGATTGTTGTTTCCTTACCTTCCTTTCAGGGAGACCTTCTTCCCAGTCTGCACTTTCCTCAGCACCTCTCTTTCCCTGTGCTAGGTCTAGACCGGAACTCATCCATAGGTGAACTGTAGTTAGTTCCCTCCTTGAACTGAGCTGACAGGTTCCAAGCTGCCCCTTTGAGCTAGCACTGGCTGTGCGATTATTCTGGGCTCAATCCTCTCTTTAATTTATACCTTGCGGAGAGCTTCTCAAAGTACATCATGCTTTCCATTGAAGTGGGTCTTCGGTACCAATTTTTTTTTCATTCAGTATTTACTCCAGACATTCTGGTAGGTACCAATCTTTCTTCTGTGTTCCCAGGAATTATTCTGTCAGGTGAAAATATCACCTGTTGCCTTTGAATTCAGAAAGAGCTTCTCTGAAGACAAGGCTCAGGATTTAGAGGCATTTACATCTAGAATTTGCTTCCAACTGAGAGGGTGGAGTCTCGCCATGCATGCTGAGGCACTAGCTGTTGTTAGACTTTTGCAAATGCTTTAATGAATGTCAGGGTGCTCAGGTGGAAAGGTGAGCCTTAAACTAAGGATGTGGTTAGCAAATAGATGACCAGGACATCACAGAGTATATGACAAGGGGCTCGTTTGAATAAAGGGCACAATTGATAATCTGAGGTTGAAGGATGTCGGTAGCTGTTGCTGTCTGGACAGATGGACAAGCCCAAGATGGGTGAGTTGTTGCCTGAGTCTTCTAACCAGAGTGTATTGTTTTAGAGGCAGAGGACCATAGGTTGAGTCCTGGCTTCCCCAATTAGGCTCCAGCTGGTAGCCTGGCATAGTGTGCTGAGGAGGTATGAAGTACATGGTGGTCCAAGGCAAGGATAGCCTGGAACAGCAGCCTCAGTCACAACCTTGGGGAGAAAGGTGGGTCAGGAGCTGCAGAAACCTGACACAAACAGATTTCTAAGTGCGGAACCCACAGAGCCATGGAAACCACACCCATGGCCCCATCGCTAAGAGAAGTGAACAGTGGAAAAAGACTCCCCCTCTCACCTCTGTAGTATCTGCAGGCTGATGTTAGCAGGTGCATTTCCTAGGATGGGGATTCTGAGGCCAATCTACTAAGAAGGGGCAAATTGCGTTATTCCAAAAGTGACACCGGTTTATAGGAGAGAAGAAAATGCAGAAAGTTTGACTTGGAGAGTCTTAGGGAGTGACAGGTCCTACCCATTAGAGCCAACCAGGTCTTAAATACCTGCGTTTGGTGAGTATGTGAGGCTGCCTTAGGCTGTGCCACCCTCTAGAACTAGAGAAGTTTGTGGATGCTGGTGAAGTTCTTACTCAGAGCTCCCAACCATATTGTAGCATTTAAAAATACAAGAGCTCAGCCAGGTGTGGTGGCACAAGCCTTTAATCCCAGCACTTGGGAGGCAGAGGCAGGTGGATCTTTGTGAGTCTGAGGCCAGCTTGGTTTACACAGAGTTTCTATTTATTTATTTTTGGTCATTTAGAGACAGGGTCTCCCTATAGCCCCAGCTGTCCTGGAACTCACTAAGCTGTACCTCTAGTCCTATAGCTCCAGTTTCTTTTTTCCTCATATTCTTTTTTGCATGTATCATTTGATACTGTTCTTTCTGAATTCCCCTCTGCTTCTAGAAAGCAGTAATTTAGTATAGGAGAGGACTCATAAAGGACTTGTAAAGTGATATGCTAATCTATGGAAAATGGCATGTGGAGATATAAAATGAGTTTATTTTTAGAGTAAAGGAATGAACTCAATGGGAAGACACTAACTTGAGACTTACTAGAACTATCTTAAAGTATTTTAGGATTGCTGGGTGTGGTGTCGCATGCCTTTAATCCCAGCACTTGGGAGGCAGAGGCAGGCAGATCTCTGTGAGTTCAAGGCCAGCCTGGTCTACATAGTGAGTTCCAGGACAGCTGGGTCTACAGAGAGACCCTGTCTCAAAAAGCCAAAAAAAAAAAAAAAAAATACAAGAACTGTACAGTTTCCGTCTTTGAATACTAAGCAAGTCATCTCTCAGAGTGGTAATCTCAATCCTTATTATGGTTTGAATATGAAATGCCCTCCCTCAGGCTCATGAGTTCATGAGTTTGAATGCTTGGTCTTCAGCTGCTGGTGATGTTTGAGGAGGTTACAGAACCTTTGGGACCTAGCTGGGGAGGAGGGGCACTGGCTCCACTTCCTGTCTGTATTAGTTACTTTTCTGCTGCTGTGATAAAACCATAAGGGAATTTATAAAAGGAAGAGATTATTTGATCTTATGGTTCCAGGGGAATTAGAGTTTGTCTTGGTGATGGGAGGTGGCTGCAGCAGGAGCAGAAGCAGAGGCTCACATCTTCAGGCAGCACAGGAAGCAGAGGGCCATGGGAAATCCTGCAAGGCTTAAGAACTCTCTAAGCCCGCCCCCAGTGATATGCTTCCTCCAGCCTTACCACACCTTCTAAGACCTCCCAAAATAGCACCACCAAGTAGGGACAGAATGTCTGAATACTTAGAGCCTATGGTGGACATTCTCATTCAAACCACCTCACTGTCCCATCTCTGCTTCCTGATCTGCCCAAATGTGAGCAAGCAGCCTCAGATTCCTGTTACTATAGTCAGGAACTGCTCTTGCCACCATGCCTTCTCTGTCATGATGAGCTGTACTCTCAAATGGGTGACGTCAAAATGAACCCTTTCTCCCTTAAGTTGCTTCTTGTTAGGTCAGAGCAATGAGAAAATTAGGTAATATTAAGTAGATAATATAGTCTATAAAAACTATGTAGAACCTTCTAACTTTGGTATTCAAGTAAAAGCTCAGATAGTCTTTTATTTCAGTGTTATGACAATCTAGTTGGCAGATATATAAACTCTCACCTTTTTGCACAAATTTGGTCCATTTTCAATGTTAGTTGCAACTATGTAGAGACTCCATGCTCTTTATTCACCAAAAATGCTCTGGGTTGTTCGTGAGTTGGAAAACAATCCCTCCTTGTTCTCATTGAACAGAAAAGGTGCTTCTGTTTTAGCAGCCTGGCTGCAAATTAACCTGTGGGCTCCGAAGTTCTATGACTAAACCCATTTTTCAGAAGAAATAGCTGAAGCTCAGAAGAGGATTGAACAACTTGGCTAACGTCACTCAGATAAGAAAGACTTAAATCGAGGAGGTTTGTTTTGTTTGATTTGTCTCTTAAAATAGTTTTTGGAATTAGAATTTTTACGGGAGAGAAAAGTAAGAAGTTGAGGGATGAGGTTGAAATGAATGGTTGATATCAGAAAATCTGGAGTGTGGAGAAGGACAGTACAGAGGATGAACCACTGGGTCTCAGATGGGCAGAGGATGAACAAACTGGATGACTGGATGGTCTTAGAAAAGTAGAAGCATCAAGAGTCTGGTGGTCCCTATTGAGATGAAAAGGCAGGTCCATTAGAGTATGGGTGTGGGGAAGCTGGGGAAGAGGAGCCAGCAGATGATGTAGGGGTTTTAGTTTTATTAAGCAACCGGATGGAGACAAATCAGAGTGATGGGCCAGAGCTGGGCATGGTGCAGCACACCTTTAATCC